ACAATTTTTGTTTTTTGTTAAGAACATTATGCTATTCGATTTGTACCACGAGAAAATGGTGTTCATTGGGTACATGTTCGTTTTAATGGACGTGATATACCTGATTCACCATTTCGTGTTGTTGTTGGTCATGCTAATGCTGATCCTGGAAGAGTATTTGCATCAGGTTCTGGTTTATATACAGGCGAAACAGGTAGATATATTGTAAAAATTAAAAAAAATGATTATTTTTAATTATATCTAAGGTCTTCCATGTGAATTTTTAATTGATACAATGAATGCTGGTGCTGGTGCATTAGCTGTTACTGTTGATGGACCATCAAAAGTTCAACTTGATTGTAGAGAAGTATCAGAAGGTAAAAACAAAAAAAAAAAGAAACCTTCTTTTTTTCTGATGTTATTCCAAATACATTATTAGGTTATCGTGTAAGCTTTACACCAACAGCACCCGGCGATTATCTCATTACGATTAAATTTGCCGGAATTAATATTGCTGGCAGTCCATTTAAGTGTTTAGTCGGAGGTAATTATTTTTCATATATATATTCTATTAATCAAAACAATATTTATTCTTATTTTATATTTAAGGTATGAATTTAAATGCTAGTCGTGGTGGTTTAGGTACAATGAGTACATCATCATCATATGTTCAACGTTCACAAGGAAATTTAGCAAGTCATTCAAAATATGATACTGTTGAACAATCATCATCATATGCATCAAATGCACGAAGTAATTATGTTAGTATAGATGCAACTCGTGTACGAGCACATGGTGAAGGTTTATTACGTGCTTATCGTAATGAAAAAGCTACATTTACAGTTGATACACGTGATGGTGGTAAGATTTTATATAGATATATATTAAACAAAAAAATACTTTCATCTATATATTTTTAATAAAGGAAATGGTATGTTAATGGTAGGTGTATTTGGACCAAAATATCCATGTGAAGAAGTATTTATTAAACATATTGGAAATAATCAATATAATGTTCAATATGTAAATATTTGTTTTTTTTTTTTTATTTTATATACGAAATATATTTGTTGATTTTTATTTTTTAGACTGTACGAGAAAGAGGTGAATATATGTTGGTTGTTAAATGGGGCGATCAACATATTCCAGGTTCTCCTTGGCATATTGAAGTTGTTTAAGAAAATAATATATCAAACAAATATATTGCATCGAACAAGAATTCTAAAAAAAAAAGTTCTCCTTCTTTTTTTTTCTTTTTATTTATATGCATATATGCTAGAGAATTTCATTCTTTTCTTTTTTTTTTTATTTTATTTTCTCTCTCATTGAGTAGTTTTGTTATACTCTTGTGTGTGCACGCATGCTCAAACTACTCGTCTCTCTCTTTCTTATATTTCTTTTATTAGTCAAGGTGCTATGATGTGTGAAATGAGTTAGAGAAAACAAAACAAAATGAATCAGCATTGTTCTCGTTTCTACATCTACTATTTGTTTGGTCAATCCTCCTTTTTCTCTCTCTCTCTATAGTTGGTCTATATCTTTGTTTTTTTTTTTTTTTATATTATAAAGAAAAATAATTTGTTCTATATACATAGATTTGCAACAAAAGAAAAAAAAAAAAAGTACCTTTATCCCTATCGATTTGCTTTGTCTCCGTTTGTGTTAATTCATGTTTTTTTTTTTTTCATACGTATTTTTTTCTATTAAAAAAAGATTTTAATGAATAAGTCGAGAAAATCTCTCTCTCTCTCTCTCTCTTGCTGAGAAAAATTATTTTGTTTTGTTTTTTTTCCTTTTTTTTTTTTCTTTTTTGTCAATAATTTCGATTAATTAGTTTTGTCACTATTCTTCCCCTTGAGTAATATTTATTTATTCATTGCTTTAATGCAGTTTATGATGAATGTATACATGAAAACATACTTGTTTTATTCATGATCAATATGTGAATGTAATTAAGGTTTCATCAACAAGAAAAAAAAGGAAAGAAATGATGATTTTATTATCGTACAACAAAAATAAAATAGAAAAATAACAAAAGAAAAAAAGACAACGTCAAATGTAATAAAGGATGTTGTTTGACTTATATCTTCCTATTCTATCTATCTTCATAGATAGCAAATTGAAGAAGATTACATGCCATTCTTTTCTATTCAATCGTCCTTTGGTTGTCTGTCAAGGAAATAATAATAAAAATGAGATGCTTTCATTTATTTCCAACAGCTTATTTTGCTCTTTAATAAAACATATCATATATTGAGCAATTATTATTTGTCTATAATTCTATTAAATATTTTCTAATGCATTCATCTTTATTGCAAAAACATCTAAATAATAAATCTGATTCAATATCATCAAATAATGAATCTTTAACATCATCATGTCCATCAACACCAACACATTCTACAACATGGCTTGAATCACCATTAATAGATTTACGTATAATGAATAATGAACATCGTAATAAAGTTTTTGAACTTGTTACTGAAATATTTTTTCGTGATGAACCATTAAATAAATGTCTTACATTTAATCTTCCATATGAACCAATTGAATTTATTGAATATGTTATAACAATTGCTTTAGAAGATCAATGTTCATTTGTTGCTATTGATATTCAAACACAAAATATAATTGGTGTTATTATTAATATTATTAAACATCGTTCAATAATAACAACAATAAATAATAATCAAAATAATTTTAATATAAATAATTTTCAATCAGAAAAATTACGTTTTATATTAAATATATTACAACATGTACATGATAATATTGATTTATTTAAAGAATTAAATACAGATCATTTATTACATATTGTTATTATAGCTATTGATGTACATTATCGTGGTTTAAGATTAACAGAAAAATTAATACATGCAAGTTTAGAACATGCAAAAAATAAATTTAATATTAAAGGTGCTTTTTCAGAAGCAACAAGTCTTTATTCAGCTAAAGCATTTCATAAACAAGGTTTTCAAAAATATAATGAAATTATTTATATTAAATATGATAGTATACGTTTAGCTAGTCTTGTTGGAGAACATGATCGATGTCAATTACTTGCTAAACAGCTATAACTATTATTTTTCCTCTTTTTTTTTTCTTTCAATGTTGTCTTTTCGTTTTTTTTTCTTTTTCGTGTTTGTTCTGCTGTATATTGGGAGAAAAAGAAAATGTGCACGGGTGTGACCATAGTTTCGGTTCAATGATTTGATTTATTATTCTTTATGATAGAAAAAAAAAAGAAATTATTCATAAACATACATATATGTATATATGTAGTATAGAAAAATAATAGTAGTGGTATAAAAAAAAGAAAAAAAAATTTGTTTTGACTTATTATTTACATGAAATAATTTAATTAACAAAATTAAACTATATCTATGCGAAATTCATCAGAATTTACTATACAAACTGATAATAAATTGAGATCGACTTCAATTAGTCATGGTCAATTTCATCGTTTACGTCGTATAGCTTTTTGGTCATGTATTATATCATTTATATTTAATATTACACTTGGTTTAACAGCATTTATTAATTGTATGCGTACAAAATCTTTTGTTGGTTTTTCATTTTCTGTTCATGCATTAATGGACTCATTATGCGCAAGTTTTGTATCATGGCATTTATCAGCAACATCAATTCCTGATGTTCATCGTCGTGATACACTTGCTTGTTGTGTTATTGGTGCATTATTTATTGGATCATTTCTTGCTATTGAAACACGAGCAATACAAAGTATGATGTCACCACCTACAGTACGACCTGATATAACAGTTGTTATATATTCTTTAATACATATTATTGTATTTACAATATTATCAATAATAAAAATAATCATTAGTAAAAAAATTAAATCAACAGCATTAAAATTTGATGCAATTAATTCTATTATTGGTATTATTATGGTATTACCACTTTTAGTTTGGGATCGTGTTGTATTTATAAATAAATTTACACATCTTGATGATCTTGTACAAGTATTAATTGTTTTATTTTTATTTCTAGCTGGTGGTAAATTAATATTAGATTCTATAACAATAATGAATATTGAATATGCACGTAAATTACGTGAAGATAAATTAAAAAGGATGTTAACAGAACCTGATGATAATGATTTTGAAAGATTAAATGGTGGTAATTATATTATTGGTACTTAACAAGTCTCTTTTTTGTTTTGTTTCTTATATGACTTAAAATCGATAAGTATAGAATGAATTTGAACAAAAAACAAAAGAAACAGTTGTGTTTGCAAGTGAATATTCATGTGTCAAAAAAAAAAAATTATTAGGATTTATTTTCTTTTGATTAAAATAATAAAACATTATAAAAATCAAAATCTATATTTCAATTAAATATATTAAAAAGTTCATAACTACACATACAAAATAAACTACAACATCATGATATTACTATTTATAATTCAAATATATATATATATATATATAGACAAAGTATCTTTCAATTTATTTTCATATTTGTAACATTACCAAATTCAATTATTATTCGATTGAATTTCGAACTTCATAAACAAATCAATTGTTTTTCTTAACATCTCATTAGAGATGTAAGTCAATTACTTGTGTCATAACCGAAAGCGAAAATAAAAATGTTAAATATTTCCAGCTGTTGTCGCAAGTCGACAGTAGGAAATGTTATAATAACTTTAGCCATCATCGTCAATTCTATATAAATGAAGCAACAAAAAAATCTTAGTAAATATATAATAGATGTTTCTAATTTCATTTATAGAATATAGAGTCTACTCTAATCTTCGATTTATTTATATATATATTACTAATTCGATTCTTTTATTCAACAAATGAATGAATAGATATTTTGTATAATATAGAGTCCTAAAATTTATAAACTAATGATTGCACAATAGATGTCATTAAATAATTTACTTTTTCGCACTTTTTATATTGGTTATTTCATAATATCGACTTTCAAACAAACGAACGAACGAAATAATTTTAATATTATTACAATTGAGATAAGTATTTATTCATTTATAAATGGAAAATGAAATTGATGCTGATGAATTAGCAGCAATACTTGCTGAAGATGAACAAGAACAAGAAGAATCAAAATCAAAATTATTATTTTCTGAACAAGCAGAAACAATGACATCTGAACAATTAGTTGAATTAACATGTTCACTTATTGATAAACCAATAACAACTAAAAAAAGTTCTACAGACAAATTTTCTAATATTGATATGAATGATTTATTTGAAAATAAAACATCAAAGTATGAAAATCTACATACGACTTGCATGATTCTATTTATATAAATTTAATTTTCAAAAAATTTAGAATAAAAATTTTGTATTTATATAATACATACAACCGAGCTTATAATAGATGTAACAGAATAAATGATGATCTCATTATTTTGATTGTAACTTTTTCATTCAATTTTCTATAAAAAATGAAAAAAATATCTAACATAATCTTTTAACTATCTGAATAAATAAAATTATGTTTTAATATAAATAAAAATATTTCTCAAAATAATAATCGATTTGAATATGTTCAGAGAATATATATTTAGTTCATATTAAAAGAAAATTTCAAGCTT